CCCTGGGTGAGTGCGGGGGACCCTGGGTGAGTGCGGGGGACCCTGGGTGAGTGCGGGGGACCCTGGGTGAGTGCGGGGGACCCTGGGTGAGTGCGGGGGACCCTGGGTGAGTGCGGGGGACCCTGGGTGAGTGCGTGGGGCCCTGGGTGAGTGCGTGGGGCCCTGGGTGAGTGCGGGCCCCGTCTCGGCTTCATCCCACTGACAAGTTCACCTCAATGTTATAAAATGATGATTGTCATGGAGCGGGTGTAGAAGTTCTACAAATGCATTGATTGGAGGAGACGCCTCCCCAGTGTTATTTCTGCTGATCTCTGCCAGCCAATCACGATCCAGCATCATAAGCACACATATAAAAGGGATCCTGGGGGCCACACACAGCCTCTACATGTATCTTTAATGTCTCCGGCAGGTTCAAGAGAAGAAGTTCGGAGTCTCTGCCCCCACCTCCCGGGCCGGAGCTCCCCGCCAGCGTCCTGGTAGAAAAGTTAAAAGAGACCCAGCGAGAATTGTGCTCCCCGCTCTCTATAAAGACCGGGGCCCCCGCGGCCCCCCATTCCCAACCGTCTCCCACCCCCAGCAACGAGAGCACAGACACCGCCTCAGAGATCGGGAGCGCGTTCAACTCCCCGCTGCGTTCGCCTCTGAGGTCCGCCAACACCACCAGACCCTCCAGTCCCGTCACCTCGCACCTCTCCAAGGTCCTCTTCGGGGAGGAGGAGCCTCTCTCGCGGCTGGATAGCGTACGGTATAACCGCGCGGTGCGGGAACTCGGGCCCCTGGTTGGCACTGGAATTCTGCACCTCACCCGGGATGGGCAGCTCTGCTCACTGAGCCGGAATGGTAAGGGGGGGGGAGACTCCGTATACATTGTATATGGTGGAGGAACAATCGGCTACCCACAGGGGTGAAATCGGTAATAATGTCTGTTTTACATATTGCTCAGATTCCGGAAAAGTCTCCCCAAAAATCAAAACGGAGGACGGCAGCGAGAACTCTGACGCCCCCCCGAGGGGAGAGAGGTTCTCACCTAAGGTAGGGGCAAATAGCCTGCAGCAGACTGATGACATCATCTCAGCCTAGGCACAGTCACTGAGTGGAGCTCAATGATCTCTTTGTATTGATAAGCGGTGGAGGGGAATGTATTGATGGAGAGTTCCGCCTTATCGGGACCTTTAGATGAAATTGCCTCTTTATTTTTCTTTCTAGGAGCTTCTGGCTTTGTTGAAATGCGTAGAAGCCGAAATCGCCACGTCGGAGGCGTGCCTGAGGGAGGAGCTAGAGAAACGCAAGAAATTCAAGGTAGGGAGCTCGGTGTCCCGCAATCCCCTCCCCGCAGTCTCTGGACCGGGTTCTAATCCGACCTTCTCATTCCCCTCCCCCTCCAGATTGACGACCAGAGAAGAACCCACAACTATGATGAGTTCATCTGCGCGTTCATCTCCATGCTGGCCCAGGAAGGTGAGAGAGTTCAGGCGGGGTTCAGACCTCGGTGTCTGAGGTTTACCTTGTGTGTCTTAAAGCTTGAACGGCGGGATCCTGCCCACTATTCGCCCCTTCCCCCCCCATACACAATAACAATGCTTACTTTTGATTGGTCATGTGACCTGATCAGTGCCATAAGTATAGTTCACTGTGCCCTGGCACCATGGAGGCGGAGCCCCTCACGGCCTAATGCGTTTCCTGGGACTCCATGGGAAGTCATTGATGTGCTATGGAGCAAGGGTAGCCAAACGCCGGTCCTCCCAGCTGTGGGGTGGAACTACAAGTCCCATGAGGCATTGCAACGTTCTCACTCACAGACATGACTCCCGGAGAGAGAGAGAGAGAGATATGCATCATGGGATTTGTAGTTTCACCCACAGCTGGGAGGACCGGTGTTTGGCTACCCCCGCTATAGAGAGCAGCTGTATGGCTGTGGGCTGGTCACCACTGGGTGCTGCGGAGGGGACAGTCCGGCACCCGGCGCCATCATGTCTCTATAGACACGGAGGGGACAGTCCGGCACCTGGCGCCATCATGTCTCTATAGACACGGAGGGGACAGTCCGGCACCTGGCGCCATCATGTCTCTATAGACACGGAGGGGACAGTCTGGCACCCGGCGTCATTGTGTCTCCATAGACACGGAGGGGACAGTCCGGCACCCGAGGACAGTCGGGCGCCGTGTAATGACGCACTCTGATTGGCCAGGAAGCCGGCTTCATGCTCCCTCGTCATCTCATGAAGAGGGAGCGTGGAGACGGCAGCCCGGGCCAATCAGAAAGCAGGGCGCCGCGTCATTACACGGCGCCCGGCTCCCATGATTGACCAGCAAGACGGCTCCGGCCGGGTATTGGAGGAAGGCTACGTTCTGGCCGGAGAGGACCCCGGGGGGGGGCGGGGCTGAACATACCGAGGTGAGAGGGGGACAGACTTTCCGGGGGGCGAGTCATTACACGCCGCCTGGCTTCCTGAACGGGACTTCCGGTACTCGGTAATTGGTATCGGCGAGTAGCGGAAAAAAATTATCGGTACCAAAATACCGATATCGGTGCACCCCTGGTTTATAGATCACAGGGGAGAATGGGGAAGAGGTTTCCGGTGGTCCTGGGCTCCCAGAAGAGTCAGGGGGAGCTCGCGGACCACCGGAGAGGGGAGTGGACCCCCGCGGGAGGTGTCGCAGTGATTGGAC